CTGTGAAGCCATACACTCCCCTTCCGTGACTTGGCAACCCTAATTCCATTTGAACCCGTTAATCAAGGTTCTCAGACCAGTATAATGCATCAGCAGTTAGCCGTCTATCACAAATGTCTTTGTCCATTGGGCCATCCTTACCTCAACCTCTAGTTTGGTGTAGAGGTTAAGTGTAGACGCTAATCTGGGAGAACTGGGTTTGATTCCCCACTCCTCCAATTGCAGCTGCTGGATGACCTTGGGCAAGCCATAGTTCTATCAGAGCTGTTCTTGAAAGAGCATTTCTCTCAGAGCTCTCTCAGCCCCACCTACCTAACATGGTGTCTGTTGTGGGGAGGGGAAGGGAAAGGAGTTTGTAAACTATTCTGAGACTCCAAGTGAAGGGTGGGGTATAAATCCAATCTCTCCTTCTCTTCTTCTTTGCAATTCATGCCAATAAGAAATGCTTGTACTTCTGGTTTCAGAGGGCAGATGTGACCTCACGCCCCAGGGAGATGCTTTCCTCTTCCACTGGACAGAGACCTCCTATACACCTTCCCTCCACTCCTACTTGTGTCCAGGGAGCTAGCAAAGATGGAAATAGACAACTCTGACCTATCCTCATCACCCCCTTTTGGCCTTGGCAACTGAGGTACCCAAAGATTCTCAAAAAGGGACATTATGGCTATCTCCAAAAGACCCCCAACCTCCTGCTTCAGCAGCTAGGAATGGTTCTACCTCCTGATGTCTTGAGCCTGGCAGATTCAATAATCTGACTGTGGAACTCATGTCACAGCCTAAGGGATGTTGTCAAGAAATTGGACCTGTAGGTCAATTTTTTGTTCTTTCATTAAACACCAGGCCTCATATTAATCTCTAGGCCTGCAAATGGGTTGAAGAGACCAAATGGAAAATAACTGGCTGTTGGTACTGACGGGTTGGCAAATAGACCTTGTGATCTTTGGATAACAATTCAGGTATTTGTTTACCAGGACAGGACTGTGGCGCCAGTGCCTCCCTGCTTCACACTCCTTAAACTGGTGCTGTGATTCATACTACACGAAGGGATGGGTTAGGCTGAAGATAACCCTCCCTCCTGCCATAAAGTGACCCACTCCTAGGCCATCAGCTAGTAACAGGCTCATGTCAACATAACTTCAATGGTCTGGTTTTGATTGGGCTATTGGGCCCCAGCCCACTCAGATTTTTCGCCTTAAGAAATTAGTTTTTCTGTTCTTTGTTTATAGCTAGCCTCAGCTATCATGAGGTATGATGAGCTAACCTTGGAATGGACCAGCATCAGCAGTTAGCTGTCCATCACAAATGTCGTTGTCCATTGGGCCATCCTTACTTCAACCTCTAGTTTGGTGTAGTGGTTAAATGTGTGGACTCTAATCTGGGAGAACCGGGTTTGATTCCCCACTCCACTTGCACCTGCTGGATGACTTTGGGCAAGCCATAGTTCTGACACAGCTGTTCTTGAAAAAGAGCAGTTTCTGTCAGAGCTCTCTCAGCCCCACCTACCCCACAGGGTGTCTGTTGTGGGGAGGGGAGGGGAGGGGAGGGGAGGAGAAGGGAAAGGAGTTTGTAAGCCGCTCTGAGACTCCCTTGGATAGTGAAGGGCGGGGTATAGATCCAATCTCTTCTTCTTCTTCTATAATCCACTTTGTCACTATTATCTTCCTTCCTCACCTTCCTTCTTATTTCGTCTCACCTCCATCCCTCATTGCTATTTCTTGTTCTCTTCTCTTCTTCTTTAACGTAACCCCCAATAACAAAAAATGATGCTTTGTAGTGCAGGTTATGACAGGTGGTTGAATTTGGAGAAGTTTGCCTCATGAGATGTCAGTTTCATAACATAAGAGAAGCCAATGTTGGATCAGGCCAATGGCCCATCTAGTCCAATACTGTGTCACACAGTGGCCAAAATAATACCAGGTACCATCAGGAGGTCCACCAGTGGGGCCAGGACACTAGAAACCCTCCCACTGTCCCCCCCCGCCCCAAGAATACAGTGCATCACTTGCCCCAGACTGAGAGTTCCCATCTATACCTTGTTAATAGCCACTGATGGATCTCTGCTCCTTATGCTTATCTAATTCCCTTTTGAAGCTGTCCATGCTTATAGCCGCCACCACCTCCTGTGGAAGTGAATTCCATGTGTTGATCACTCTTTGGGTGAAGAAGTACTTCCTTTTATCTGTTCTAACCTGACTGCTCAGCAGTTTCATTGAGTGCCCACGAGTTCTTGTATTGTGAGAAAGGGAGAAAAGTACTTCTTTCTCACCTGCTCTATCCTATGCATAATCATATAAACCTCAATCATGTTACCCCTCAGCTGTCATTTCTCCAAGCTAAAGAGCCCCAAGCTCTTTAACCTTTCTTCATAGGGAAATTGTTCCAACCCTTTTATCATTCTAGTTGTCCTTTTCTGCACTTTACCCAATATTATAATATCCTTTTTGAGGTGTGGTGACCAGAAGTGTACACACTATTCCAGATGAGATCACACCATTGATTTATACAGGGGCATTATGATACTGGCTGATTTGTTTTCAATTCCCTTCCTAATAATCCCCAGCACAGTGTTGGCGTTTTTTATTGCAGTCACACACTGTCTAGACATTTTCATTGAGTTATCTACTACGACTCCAAGATCTCTCTCTTGGTCAGTCTCTGTCAGTTCAGATCCCATCAATGTGTACTTATAGTTAGGAATTTTGGCTCCAATGTGCATCACTTTGCACTTGGCCACGTTGAACCCCATTTGCCATGTGACGCCCACTCGTCCATCCTTGACAGATCCCTTTGGAGTGCCTCACAATCCTCCCTGGTTCTCACCACCTTGAACAACTTCGTGTCATCTGCAAATTTAGCCACTTCACTGCTTACTCCCAACTCCAAATAATTAATAAACAAGTTAAAAAACATCGGACCGAGTACTGATTCCTGCGGTACCCCACTGCTTACCACCCTCCACTGAGAAAATTGCTCATTTATATTCTGCTTCCTATTAATTAGCCAGTTTTTGATCCACAAGAGGACTTCTTCTTTTATCCCATGACTGTTGAGCTTACTTAGGAGCCCTTGATGAGGAACTTTATCAAAAGCTTTCTGGAAGTCAAGGTAAACAACATCTATTGGGTCCCCCTTGTCCACATGTTTGTTCACTCCCTCAAAGAACACTAACAGGTTAGTGAGACAAGATCATCCTTTACAGAACCCATGCTGAGTCTTCCTCAATAATGTCTACTCAAGTCAGAAGCTTCAACCCCTCCACACAGACTACCCTCAAGCTTGTTTCTCTAGTCCTCTCATTATATAACAGGCCCTGGGGCTGAGGGCTTTGTTTTTTATTCCTAGTAATGCTGAGAGTGGCTGAGGGCCAGTTCCAGGCTGGCATTTTCTTGGGGGTGGGGGTGGGCTATAAAGCAAACAGATTTGTTAGCAATCCAGGAGCTTTATGGAACAGAAAATTCTTCCATTTCTGTTAATCCTCTCCTGTTGCAGAGGATTTTCCTGCCATTAAGTGATAGCTTTTGGGAGGGGGAAAATGCCAGCCCTTCAGAGATGCTTTAACAGAACAAACAGCAAGCTTGTGAAAAGAAAAGAAGGGCGCGGCTATCATCCTGTCAGGTAAGCGAGACAGCCAACAATTTTTTGTAAGTCTCTCCTTTGTTGATTCAGACAAGAGCTGATGATTACACTTTTTACATACTTATTCTTTGTCATTGTTTCTGTCTTACTCAGGTTTCAGCGGGATGTATTGTATTAATTGCTTGGGCAAGTCTTTCCTTTAAAATCTACAGGGCAATGCTATTCCCAGATACTTAGCAATTAAGTCCAAGTGGCCGTAGTAGGAGTCATATTATTGCTGAATAACTATGCATAGTACTGGGTTTTTATTCTGTTAAAACAAAGAATACTGTTGGAAAGGTTTGTAGAAGAAAAAAAGGAATAGGAAGGGATACGCTGTGATTTGAAAAGGAGAAGGGTATGATATATTTTAAATCAACAAGCAGTATTTTTTTTAAAAGGCATCACGAAGCAAGGATAATTACAAGTCAGTTTCCTGCTTCTGTCTTCTTTTAGATTTTGGAAGAGTATTTGCCAGACCTGAGATGCAACAACTGAATAATCAAGGTGATGTTTGCCATCATTTTAAATGGTAAGTAGAGTGCCATGACATACTATAGTAGGTTCTAAAATCAGCAATGTATCAAGTTCTTTGTTTTGGGAAACTGCCACAGTTCTGCTCCAAGATGCATGCCTAGAATTTTATAATTTCCTAACTATTGTAATTTTTTAAAAGTTGTGATTTCTCTGTCATATGCTGTTTCCAATCATGTCATCAGTGTTTAGAAACAGATTTTTTTGTTTTATGTATGATAAATACCCAAATGTTTTTTATGCTTTGAGAAGACATAAGGAACACAAACTTCCAGAAAATTCTGAAGAAGCTTCATTATTCAGCTCCTATTAAATTAAATTAAATTAAATTAGATTTTGCCTCAACTATTTGTTATACTAGTAAACAATTACTGTAAATTTGCCAAGTTTTTTTGTTTTCTATATTGATTGTTTTATGTTTGCATAAAGGCACTTCTGCCTTTTTTTTTGCTTGTGGATCATTAGATATCAATGGTTTGGGTTTATGGACATACACAAAAGTAAAATTAACATTTAAGACTGGAAGACCTATACATTTTTTGATGCTAAAATGCTGGAGACAGTTTTGTAAGAAGAATGCTGAGGAACACTGCTAGTTTTCTGATACTTTGGAGTCAAATAGGATTAAGACAATTAGTGGTTGCCAGCTCCGGATTGGGAAATTCTTGGAGATTCAGGGGTGGAGCCTAGGGAGGGCAGTGTTTGGGCATGGGTAGGGAGCTTAACAGGGTCTAATGCCATAGAGTCCACCCTCCAAAGCAGCTGTTTTTTCCAGGGGGACTGATCTCTCTAGTTAGGAGATCAGTAATAATTCCAGAAGATCTCCGGGCCCCACCTGGAGTTTGGCATTAGATCAGAGGCTATTCTAGACTTCCATGATGGGGGAAAATAGTAGGGAATCAAGCAGCCTCTACAACGAGCAAATCTGATGTACACCCAGAAAACTTTGACAGCGGCAGACATAAATGTCTTCACTATTTACTTTCTCAAGCTGCCATTGAAAGTTAGAGAGCAAAGTCTGAGTTTGAGTTGTTAAGACCAACAAAGTTTTATTCACAGCTTTCGTGTGCAAGCACACTTCATCAGATGTTGAAAGTAAGAGTTTGTGCAGTGTGATGTTTGCTTGCTTATGCTTGTAACATGCTGAGAACATTTTAATACCTCTCCCCGCTCAGTGTAGTTGATAGAATTCCCACTTTATAAGACAAAGTAATCTTGTAGGTGTCTACACATGAAAAAAAACTACTTCCACCTAATTTTTCAAGTAGCATCAAGATTGTTTTTGGCAAAGTTGTCCTCAGATAGAGAAACAAGGATAACTAATTCAGACCCATTTCCATTCACAAAGATAATCTGTTTTTAAACGGCCCTGAATGCCAAATGTTATGATTTGATCTGTCCTGGGTGTTCAGTAGAGATATGACACCACTGCTGGCTTACTTTCTAGCGAAGTCCTGGTCCTCTATTCTACCATATGTGAGGATGGTTGCCTATTTTCGGGTGAGTAGATTGTAGTCTAATGCTAATTTGGAAAAAGTGGTGGACTAGGTGAATCATGGTCAAGGCATTAACAGTTAAAAGATCTTTATACATTTAATGCACATAAGTGAAACAAAGTGATAGTAATAAAAAAGTAGACCACATATGATGAAGTCTGCTCATGCATGTTAGTACAAAATGCTGAGGTAAAAGGACTTATTGCAGCTCAGAGAATGGTCTGTCGTGCCACTTCTGATACCAAGAAGGTCTAGGCCTCTGAGCAACCTGGAGGAAGGGTGATTATACAAATGTGACCCATTTGCCTGAGCCCATTTGTGGGGAGGGCAGGGTAGAAATTTAAATAAATAAATAAATAAAACATTCTTCATACCTTTTATCTTTGGGTCCCAAAAAGCTCATTATGGCTTTCTCCAAACACAAGAGCATTTTAAGCAAAACCCTTGCTGTGGCATCTAGACGCTGGACACCCTTTGCTGATTTCCTAGTTACAGCAGAACCTGCAAGACATGGGAGATTTAATACAGTCAGGAGCAGGGCTTTAAAAAAAAAAAAAAAAGAGGTGCCAAAACTCTCAAGAGGGAAATGAAGTTTTCAATCTGTACAGCTTTTAAACATTTTAAAAAGAATTTTGTCAGAGAGGTTCCAGAACTCCATTCTGGCACATTCCGCCAGAAAAAAAGCCCTGGGAGGACTCTGCTGCTTACAGACAGCATTTATGCTGCTAATAATATCACACCTGTGGACTCTGCTGCTTGAAAACAGAGTAAGTGATTCCTGAATGTCACTGAATACCTATTACATCTTATCTTAAATAGTGAAAGCATATTAAGTTACACTAATAAATTATTCACCCAAACAATCTAGCAAAGAATAGTAAGAATGTAAGGACCTACAACAAGATTAGTTGTGACAATGTACTGCTTGCATTATTATTATAATAAAACTGCTGTCTTCCATTCCTCACACTCATTACAGTATTTAATGACTATTTTATCAGCTGGCTAATCTGCTTGCAGTGCTTTGGTCATTCTAGTGGCTCTTCTTCTCACACAAAGGAGCCCAGGATTAGTTCCAGCTATGCACTGTACAGAGGGCTCACAACATGAGAAAACAAATGACTGCCGGGGATGGGGATGGGGGAATCCCCACATTTTGTAATTTAGGGAAGTTCTTTCCATCAGATGTGCCACAAAGAACAACCTGCTTGAGTTCTTAGAGAAATTGTATAATTATCTGAGTATTTCATGCCAGTTTTAAAAATTACCTGACTTCTTGAAATCTTATACAATATCTTCACAGATAGCATTTTGGTATCGGTAAGCTTGTAAAGCGAATTGTACATTAAACAATTGTACTTTTTATTTTGATATTGCCAATGTTAATTAATCTCTCCTATCTCTCTCTCTCTCTTTCCTTGTGGCTAATGCTGGTACATTTACTTGCCAGTCTTTCTTTGCATCCCCCCTGTCCATTCAGTGTGGGCTTGTGTCCGTTCCTGTCCTGCCAGCTGTGTATGCACCCAAGAGAGGAGTTGCTCCGTCCTGTGCGATCGTGCTGGCCTCATACAGATCCCCAGTGAGTTTCCTTGTGAAGCCTCCTCTCTTAACCTGGATAAAAATAGCATCAAATTCCTCTCTGAGAGGGCATTTGGTACTCTACCTTCCCTGAAATCTCTTTCATTAAAGCACAACAACATCTCCTTCATCACTCCTGGAGCTTTCAAAGGGCTAGCTAGCCTGACTGAGCTAATAGTGGCCCATAATGAATACATTCGCTATCTGCATACTAGGACGTTTGTTTCACTCAAGAGATTAATTAGATTGGATTTAGCAGACTGCAACCTTTTCAACATCCCAGACAGAATTTTTATTGAACTTCCAGCCCTTCAGGAACTCTTCTGTTTTCAGAACAACTTCCGTAGGATTCCAGGAGCCATAAGAGGGATGGAGAATTTGACCCACGTTTACTTGGAGAAAAATAAGATAGAAGCTGTAGCTTATAATTCTCTCCTGGGTTTGACCCGCTTAAAATATCTCAACCTCCAAGACAACAGAATAAATGTAATTCATGACAGAGCGTTTCAGGACTGCAAGCAAATGGAGTACCTTTATTTAAATGACAATCTCATTAGTGACCTCCCAGAGAACTCATTTGATGGCCTGAAGCAACTGAAGATGTTTAATATTGGTGGCAATTTGCTCAGGAATGTCTCAAATACCTGGTTCCGGGATCAGCTTGAACTGGAAGTTTTGTACTTGGACAGAAACCGGATCAGCTATATTGAGGAAGGAGCTTTTGAAAATCTCACAAGCTTGGTTTCTTTGCACTTAAATAGCAACAACCTAACCACCTTGCCTTTCTCAGTTTTCCAACCTGTTTACTTCCTAGGAAGACTCTACCTTTTCCGAAATCCTTGGGAGTGTGATTGCAGGATTGAGTGGCTGAAAGAGTGGATGGAAAATTACAGACTTGTCAGAGATATTCCTTGTTCCTCTCCATCCTCTGTAGCTGGTCTAGACTTGACTGATGTTTATTTTGAGAGAACATCTGAAGGTTTCTGTCTTGACCCAGAGGAATTAAATGTTACATCTTACAGTCCTTTTCCTACTGGAGAATTTCAGTCTACCACAGAGAACAGGTTCAACAGCCTTATCTCCAAACTTTTACGCCAGAAGGGCCTTTCAGAAGAGGTGGTAAACACCACAGAAGCATTCAGCAACACCACGTTGTTACATGGATTGACTAATAAGGTGGCTTTAGGACTAGGGGAATGTCATGTCAAACTAATATATATATTAACCATTTTGATATGCATTATGGACAAATAAGCCCATAGTAAGTCTAATGTTAGTGTAAACTTTTCCTTTGTACGAAGGCTACTTGCTTGACTAACTCCAATAGAGTTCTCATTGATCAGGGTGCAAAGGCCTCTGTGGTTTAGTGAATGATTTAGAGAGCAATCCTAAGAAGAGTTACACCCTTCTAAGCCTATTGACTTCAATGGGCTTAGCAGGGTATAACTCTGTTTATGATCGTACTGCAAGTCTGGGTCCATCTTTTATAATAGGTTCAGGCTCACAGAAACAGCACCCATTTCTGAAGCCCCACAGGATTTAATACTTGACAGCCTAACAGTGCAATCATAAACAGAGTTACAGCCTTCCTAGTCCACTAACTTCTATGGACTTAGAAGGATGAAAATCTGCTTAAGTTTGCACTATAGCAAACCTAGTGAGCCTGATTTCTGTCATTATTCTGCAAGAGTGACCGTCAGTTGCAGTGAATTCGATCCAAATTACATTTATGTAAAAGGAGGTTTACCAATGCTGTTGTTGGTTCTGTTTGTGTTTTGTAAGAGAACAAGAGAGTGACAGAGCAGATTGGTGACCTATTAGGAAGATCTGAGATATGGATTTAGTTGTTAACTTGTCCTTACAAATTTTATATGGGAATAGTAAGTCATTTTGTTTCTTCTATATGCAGGACGCTTTTACCATTGCACATAAAATGGGGATTTGTATACCATTATAAACACAAACAAAAGATAAGGGACAGTTGTTCTTTCTATATTTCTTGGTGGTTACAAAGTTAGCAGTAGGAAATATAATCATCAAGAGTTCTTAGCTATAGTTTCCTGTTTTTTTTCAAAGTTCTGAAACCTAGTTCTACAATGTGTTTCATCTGGTGTATTCTACAACTTTAAAACCATATTTTTCATTTTCTCTCCGACACTCCTCTGCTAGTTGTTATGGGGAGCATCTCATTATATATAACACACCCTACCCACAACTCTAGTGAGACTGGTAGTGTTCACAGGGCTATTACTCTTCCCTTGTAGTTCTCCTCAGAGAATGATCAGGTAACAAATACATCAAGTCTGCCTTCACCTAAGTCTTTCTTTTTTTTTTGGGGGGGGGAGAGTTTAACTTGTAAAATAATGAAGGTCAGAATAGCTCGGTGCTTGAAAAGTACCATGCATGATATGAAGGATCTTACATACCAACCTGCCTTATACAGAGTCAGACTGCTGGCCCATCTAGCTCAGCTCTCTATTCTGACCGACAGCAGTTCTCTAGGGTATGAAGAAAGACTTTCCTAACAACTGCCCCCGAGAACTTTTAAATGGAGGTGCTAGAGATTTAAGTAGGATATTCTTGTTTGCAAAACATGTGCCCTACAACTGAGTCACAGCCTGTGTCAGTCTACCAAGATTCATACAGTGATACTTTTTTTGTGAATCTCAGAATTACAACAGTTTTATAGCATGGAAGTATATTCAAGTAACTGCAGCTATCATGTGATCATCTGAATGTGTGTGATCAGCCGTCAGTTAACAGTGTTTCTTACCAAGTAAGCATTAACAAACCAAGTAGTTCCAAGAGGAGGAGATTCATATGCAAAAACTGTTTCCGAGGATTTCCCTTGCTGGAACAGAAACCATATGCATAGTTTTGGTATGGATGCATCTGTATTGTTATGCACATTTGGATGAGGTATGTCCATTTTCCTTCCTACCTATGGCTAAGGGTGTGCTATTCCTTTGGCACTGAAATTCAAGTGGGAATGTAAATCTCCAACCACTGTCTCAGGTGGCTCAAGTGTTATATACAACTATATTTGGATTGGGGCCAACATATGCTGCTTATAGTACTGTATTGGGTAGCCACACCTCTGTGCAGGGGTGACAGTGCTCATACTTTCAAATATGAGGGCCAGCTGGTGCCTCCTCAAAGAGGGAATGCTTTAAATCCCACCTTCCTGGCCAAATCACCCCACCCCTTCCTCCCTCGTGTCCCAGTATTAGCTTGCAGTGGCATGCTCTGAACTGCTCTCCCATCAAAGTTTTCCATATTTGAAGAGACAAAAGGGAAAAAACACCCAAATTTAGGCTGCCTCATAAAACAGTGCTGCAAACATTGCTACTTCAGACATAAAATCAACTTTTGGATTTCACTGCCATGATGTATGGTAATCACAATTAGCTTAGAATGTCTCTTACAAATATTTTTGAAAATACTTTTATAACTTTTCCACACCCATTCCACTCAAATTAATTCCCCCTTCAATAAATTTTCTCCCCAAATATTAATTTCCCTAAAACTGAAGGCTTCCCCCATTTTCCTTGCCTCAATCACATTAGCTCTCCTTCAGTCTTTTGGAGCTTATTCATAGGCCTACAAATGAGCTCTTAGGCAATCCTGAGGTATATGTTTGGCAAGATCACATCCAGGCTACAGCTGCAATTGTAAGAATATTTTTCTGGGAGTAAGCCCTTGAATAAAATGGGCTTACTTCTGAGTATACCTGCCTCTCCACTGAAGACAACAGACTCACACAAAGTAAGGCATGTCCTTTAAAACAGACTAAACAAGGCAGTGGCTGTCCAGACATCAGACATCGGTGTCAGTGGGCCAGCTTGCCTCCGTTCCATTTTCCAGCATTCTTCATGAAGAGCTGTGCAAGGACCCAAGTGGTCCTCTGGCATTGTTTGTGGGGGCAGGTAGACAGCAACCCTGTAAACCCACTTGTAGGTTTGCTTGTCTAGAGCCTCAGAACTTCTTCATTAGATTCTGACCATCTCAAGGCCAAAAAACCAAACCAAACCAAAAATCCACAGTAAAAAAATCAGCATGCATTGTTGATTTGTAGTTAGTTTTTAGACCTTAAGATAGCAGTTCAATGTGCTGTAGGCACTTAATAAATAACTGAAAACGTATGCCATGCTACGAGTTACACTGAATAGAGAAACATGCTATGTATATGTGCATACAGCATTTTTGAATACTGATTTATTCAAGAAAATCTCTACAAAATACCAGCATACAGAACATATTTTGTATGTATTGATGTCAAAAATAAACATATATGATGTACATCCTTGGGAGAGGTTATTATGTGCCAGTTAACATATAGTGTAACAGCTTCTAGACAAATTGGGCATTTTTTGTAACCTTCCCTTAGCTTTGGAATAAATTAAAAAATGATCTAGTATATGATAATTTGTTTTTTTGGGGGGGAAGCAACCCTAGGCGGTTTATTTTTGTTTCAAAACCAGAGGTTTTGTCCATCTTGTGATATATGAAGCTGGTAGTATTGTACATATCTCAAGGTAACTGAAACACACACACTTAAATATAAAAGACTCTGGAGAACAATGTAAGAATTTCCTTACTTTGAAGCAGCAGCTTAAAATGCTGTACAGAAGAGAACAAAAATGTTTTTAAATTGATTTGCTTTTTTTAAAAAAACCAACATGTGATTATGCTTGTAAAGCACTCAATCCAAGCAGGAAAATCATTCTGCACCCATAATTCAGCGTGGCAGGTGGAGTTAATGACTGATGCTGACCCCTTCCTTATACATTGTACATGGTTTATACAGAGGCACTCATTGTTTCTGCTGAATCTTTGACAAAGACAACCATAGTGAGGAAGAACGGATACCATATCAGAGCATGGATCGCTAGCAATATGTGACTGAACTCTTAAAGGCAGCAGAATCCTTCCCCTTTCCCAGCCCATTGTTTGACTGTCCACAAAACAGGATCTCACGCTGCTAAATTATTAACTATGTTAGTTTCTATTGTTGTTCAACGCAAGCATTCAAATAAAAATGCCAGGACAGCAGCCACAAGTGATTTCATGTGCAGTGCTGATCACATCAAGACATTCTAGTCAATACGAAGAATTAGGTGACCATTTTTTTCCCAAGAATGAAAAGAGGCCAGATGGTTTGATAAGTACTTGATTGAGCTTTTCTGTGTGCTAAATTCAATGACTTTGGATTTCCAGGCTATTTATAAAAAGAATAATCTTCTTACATGCTAAAATTCATCTGTGTATTATAAAAGGCCTGTTTTTCAAAGCCTGTATTGACCAAATGCAATAGATTAAGTTGAGGATTTTTGTTGGGAAAAACATTGCTTTATCATGTGGCTTGAGGGATGACAGGAGAAATTTGATAAAACCTGCCAGCATTATAAGAGATACTGGTTGGCTTACATTATTGTACAAGTGATCATTTCACATACAAGAAACTTTATTTTATTTGCATGATTTTTCCCATTCATCTCCCTTAACCTAAAAACATAAATAGGAACACAGAACAGCCCTGCTGGAGCCAGTTTGGTGTAGTGGTTAGGAGCGCGGACTCTAATCTGGAAGAACCGGGTTTGATTCCCCAGTCCTCCACTTGCACCTGGCTGGATGACCATGGGCAAGCCATAGATCTGGCACAGCTGTTCGTGAAAAAAGAGCAGTTTCTGTCAGAGCTCTCTCAGCCCCACCTACCTTACGGGGTGTCTGTTGTGGGGAGGGGCAGGGAAAAGAGTTTATAAGCCGCTCTGAGACTCCTTTGGGTAGTGAAGGGCTGGGTATAAATCCAATCTCTTCTTCTTCTTCAGACCAGTGGTTCATCTAGTCCAGCATCCTGTCTCAAAAAGTGGCCAACCAGTTTCTGTGGAGGGCCAACATACAGGGCAGAGACTGAAACCTTCCCCTGATGTTGCCTGCTGGCTCTGGGATTCAGAGGTTTCATGCCTCTGAATGTGGAGGTTTTCCTCAGTTGCCATGGCTAATAACCACTAGCTACTAGTATATGATAGCTATAAAATGTACATTAAGTAGTTTTAAAATCAAATCTTGTGGGAAGGAATTATTTGAAATAAAGAAAAAAATGGCGACTGGAAGTTAGCAGCAAACATTCATGAGTCAGGTGTTTAGTCTGAAACCATTCTGTTTTACTGTTTGCTTACAAGACCTAGAAACACACTGGGACGGAGGTGGCAGGTCTTCGCTATTTAAAGATTTTGTGTTCACACTTTAGTTTA